GTTTTGATTCATGTAAAATTTTGCTTCCACTTCACAATTGTATACCACTTTGTGTTGGTCTTTCACATTAAATTCCAGTGAACTATATTTATGTTTGTGGTTGTAATGTGACAAAATATGGAAAAGTTCAAGGGGTATGAATACTTTTGCAAACCACTGTAGCTAATCAGAAAGTGAGGTGATGGAAACATGGAAAAGAATTGAAAATACAGCAGACAAAACGACTGCCATATAGCGCACTAGAAAGTCTAGAAAGTCTGTTGGATGTCGGAGATGTAGATGTTTTTGTTTTTTCACTGTTAAAAATAGTTCACAAATAGTAAATAGACGTACTTGTATAGCACCTTTCAACCCAACCAGGATACTCAAAGCGCTTCACACTACAATCTGTGCCCTCATTTACCCATTCACACAGCACTCTATCCTCCTCCTACAAAGCTAACATGTACAGTTATCCATGGAGACCAATCAGTGCCAATCACATTCGTACACTGATGGGACATACATCAGAGGCATTGGGGTTAAGTATCTTGCCCAAGGACACAACAACTGAGACAGCTGGACAGGGGATCAACAACTGTTGTCTCAGGAACACATACAAAAACAACAACAACAACAACAAAATAAATCTAAAGAAGCCATCAGAGACCCTCGCCAGAGCGTAGGAGACTGGAGGCATCGACCCTCTTGGTGGCGCTGAGAGAGCAGGAGGTAGAAGTGTCGACCCTCTCAGAGGCACAGGTGGCTGGAGGTCTCGGGGACTTTCTCAGAGGCGGCACTGGAGGAGGTGGTGTCCAAGACCCTCCCACCAGCAACATAGGAGAATGGGACCCTGTCTGCTCTGGAGAGCAGGCCCATGTCGGCTCCGGAGAAACAGCCACCAGGTCAGTAGAATCTGCCACTTTTCTACGTCAGCAATGGGGGATGAGGACCTGGAAGAGCCGAAGTCAGATCTTCTGCTCCAGAGGCAGTGATGGTGGTCGAGGCTCGGGGCACAGAAGGAGGTGATCCCGGCAGGCTGTTGCCTCAGCCTGAGCCTCTTCGAGGAGCTCTGCCATGCCTAGAGATTGTTCTATTCCAGGATATTTGGAACACAGTGCCACGGCCGCCCAGTATCGATCCAACAATGGCCACCAAGTCACAAAACTTCTTTGTAGTCTGCTGAAGTTTCAAAAAAAATTTCACTGGTTAGATCTGCCAGGGAGAAAAAAACCTGCTGGGTTCTTTTTTAGCTTGTTCATTCGGTCAAGATGAGCGAAGGAGTGAACCCAAGTCCGGACAGAGGTGATTGAGTTAAACAAAAATATTTATTAAACAAAATAAAAAATTGTTGTGGCAGCAAAACAATAACAAGATCAGGAGACACGAGGAACATCTAACAGTGGGTAAGAACCAAACAATGATCCAGTGACTAATGGAGAGATGTGAACAGTATTTTTACAAAAAGAGGAAGAGATGGTGCAAATTAAAATAAAGACAGTTTAGGAGAACTAATTACCAAGACAGGTGAGAGTGATAATTGTCAGGGAAACGGCAGGCAGACTGAGGAGAGAATGATAAGGCACAAGGAGGACACAAGAGGGAGACAACAGACAAGACACAAATCCCAACAGTGAGGGGCTTTCAGCCCTCATAGACCCCTTTTATATAGTTTTTGGAGGTTTTTGGCCCAGACACATTTTATCTGGTATTTTTAGGTTTGGAGTGGTTTTTGATCCTCCTAGACCATTTTTGCGTGGCCTTGATTGGTTAATGAGGCAAGCAGCTTTGTCTTTTCCCCTCCTCCACGCTGGCCTGGTGAAGCAGTCACAGACGCATTTGCCTCACAGGGCACCAGTCTGTCACTCGTGCCCACTGTAATTTATAATTTATTCCACTGTTGGTGACTGTTGGGAGATTGCTTCTAAGTCAAGTTTTGAAGCTATATGTTGGTTTCTTTAGATATATAAATATATATAAATGTAAAGTGGCACAGCAATGCAATCTCAATTGTTTCCCCTCAGTGAGAAGGTCTAGCTCTTCCTGGTCTGCAGCCTTTTTTGGTTGGGGTTTACATCTTCCAGAAAGATGGGAACCCACACATTGGTTTCTCCCACAGATCAAAAACATGCATGTTATGTTTATTGGTAACTCTAAACTGGTGTAAGTGAGAGTGTGAAAGGTGGATGGACTGTGGTGGTGGTGTGCCTGGATGGATTGGAGATCTGTCCCCTGCCTCAGTGACTTCTTGAGATAAGCACCAGCTCCCCACAACCAAGAAAAGAGAAGCAGGTAAAGAAAACAAATGGGTTTCATAATGAATTATGTGAATGTATTATAATTTTTTATTTGTTTTAATAATTTTATTAAATTGAAGTAATTGGATTTGAATGTGACTTGAATGGACATGTAATTTTGTTTTGTTATGAATAGGTTTTTTTTTTATAAATAAACTATCGATATGAACGTTAGAATATTAACTCAAATCTTCCACAGTAAATTAATCAAACAAAATCAGAACTAGAAATAGGTTTTATGAATTAGACATTTTATTTACTCAAATGCAGAAATAGATTTTTCTAGTCTAACACATATCAGTAATACGTCTCATGCTCATGAACCTCATGCCACTCATGCCCATGTTCATGAAATTCCTGTACTCTCCAGGCCTCAGGTACATCATTCTGCCTCTGTAGTGGGGCTGCTCATACATCAGCCAGTGGCCGTCCATCACATTGCAAGACATGCAGTCAGACATACGGTAGCGATCCATGACAGAGTCACAGTCGTCCATCAGCTCAAACATCTGACCACCAAAGTTCTCCCTCTCGTAGATCCTCATCCTGAAAGAACCTCTGTGCTGTATATTAAAAACAGAGAAAATGTGTCAACAGCTATCGGACATCTCAAAATTCCAAATGAAGCAAGTTTTAGGTAAAATTAAATATTGTGTACATACATAAGGGATCATTCTGCAGGATCTGATGGAGTCAAACATCATTTCCATACTCATCATGCGCTGCATGTCATGATATTCACCCCTCCTCAAGAAGAACTGCATGCCCATGTAGTTAGGACGCTCATAAACCATAAAGCAGCCGCTCTCAATCCTGCAGGACTGACACCTGCTCAGGTAGGAGGATATGTCAGAGCAGTCACTCATGCACTCATAAGAGCGACCCTGGAAGTTCCTGTCTTCATAGAAAATGATCTGAAAAATAAAATTTCAAAATAAACTTTGAACAAGGGTAAAACTTTATATTTTGTTGCATAAACTATAATTAGATGTTTTGAAGTTTTTGGTATAAATTTCATATTACCTTGCCCATGATGGAGGCTTAGGCTCTGTTTCCAGTGGATGTTTCAATTTACTCTGCCAACTCCATGAATCCAGCACCTTTTTATACAAAATCCCAGGGGCCATGATGTGTTGTTATTCAAATCTGCAAAGCTGATGAATTAGCAGTATGACTTTTGCTGAACAGGGCCTATAAATGTTTAACAATAGTTTTCCATCCATACACTTCTGGAGAGGTCGTCTACATTGTTCATTTTAAGCATATGCTTTGTGTATATGGTTGTATACAGTTTGAGTATACGTCAGATGGTCAGGAGGTTCTATGGGCAGATCATAGGTGATGGAAAAAAGCATCAGGTTACATCTCAGTCAAAACCACCACAAACCAGAACCTGCAAAATTATTCAGCTTGTGCAATGTCAAAATCAGTCTCCCTGCAAATCATGCATTAGATTAAGAGTTATTCCACAAAACTTCATATAAATCATTTTAAAATATTTAATTTTTGCTGAATAAATAAAATAAAATAAACTGACTTGACTTTATAGTTAAAGTCAAGTCAGTTTATTTAAAAACAACAGGTTGAAACAAAAGCTCTACACAACAAAAAATAATACAAATAAAATAAAACTAAAATTTTTTTTTCTAAATTAAATATAGAAAAAAATTTGAAGTTTAATAGATTTTCTCGTTTTTTAATTCAGCAGCTTTGTTGTAAGTTCTTATCTCAAAATTGTGCTCCGTTCGCTCTAAAAAAGAAAACAAAAAAGAGTTTTCATGAGAAAAAATTAAATGTGTTCATGATGAAAATGTAAGAATTTTTTCAAAAATCCTACAAATACTA